GGGGGGGGGGGGGTAATTTTAAAATGAAAAATTTGACAGCTGCACTTATTATAGCTGCCAGATTGTCTGGTGTGCAATGTAATATTGTTACTGGTGTAAATAACTGTGTGACAGTTGGGGTGTGGGGAGTTGGAAATGCGCACCGCTTTATACTGTTATGTGGGAATCTGGTTGATGGCTTCACATTCATGTTAGTTGTCCTGCATATCTGGGCAATTTCATTAAAAATCTGTGGTCTGTTCTTTCTTTCAAGACCTCCTGCAAGCACTATGGGGGTGATGAACTTGTGTGCCCAGTCTGTGGGGTTGTGGCCAAGCCAGAGGCTGAGTTTATTCCGCTGGATAAGTTGGGCAATTACAAGCCAACTGTCAGGTGAGTAGCAAACTTGGTCTGAGAAAGGCTGACATATTGGTCACATTTTTCATTCTAAATGGGATTGGGGAATTTTTCAGGCTTGCACAGGAAGTGTATATTTCCTACAACCCATCCCAGCCTCTGCTGATGCACACGCAGTTCACACACTGTTGGACATACAGCAACAGATTGAAGAATGTGCTAACTTCCAGTTACACAGTGTGCGGCACTTAAGGAGATTGTTATAGAGATCATTTGGCGCTGGGTTTTTCATTTTCACCACCTTTCAGGAGCTACAACATGTTTATATTATTGTGGTCAGCAATTTGTACCAAATGGAAAATAGTGTTTTTAACATAATGTACCACTGATCTTGTGTGCAGTTAAAGAAACAAAGGAAAGGAAATTCTCTCCTTTGTAGCGTTTTTCAGTGGTTACAGCAGAGTACCTCTTCTCCAAGTACATTGTGGTCATGTGATGGGCTCTTGTTGGTGCACTGATTGTACATATGTTTCCAGAGTGTCCTCCCTCCTCCTGAACAGACATCTCAGAGTGATGTCATATTGAGCTCCTGACAGTAACTAGATATCTAGGTGGGTTCCTGATGCTCAGTGGGATAAATTAGATTGGCACGATTCTGAAATTGTGTGTCATAAACTTTTTCCTTCAAGCATTCCCACAAATAAAAATGCAGGGGGTGGAGGTCAGATTAGCAGAATGTGGGTTTGAGGCAATTGGACCTTCATGCCTAATCCACGTGTCCAGAAAGTTATTGCTGAGCCAGTGTGCACTCAAGATGCAGAATGGGGAGAGGCACTGTCCTGCTGAAACCAAATGCTCTTGTAGACATGCAGAGGCACATTCTCCAATAAAAGTAGAAGCATTTCTTCAAGAAAATTGCATAGTGTGCTCCACTGAGACAATCCCATATTGCATGTAATCTCATTATGTAAACATATACAGTTCCGGCCCAGATGTTGATGCTGTAGTGTTTCATCCTGAATGGCCTACAGGCATACCACCATTTCTTTTATGAGGGCTATGTTTGTGACATCTGTGATTGGCCTAGCATTTATTCCCTTGGCTCTTTTCTCATAGTGTTTACTCGCCAACTGCTCCTTAAGGCAGCTTGTCCCAAGCAGCTCCCTGATAAGGTGTGAGCCAGTCCAGGTGTACTACCATCATCCTTGCTCTAGGGTTCTGCTGGACCCTGTATACCGCATCATTTATCCTGGTGACTACCTTGTGTCAGCCCTGCCATGAGGATTGAAACTTGGCAATTTCCCCTTCATGCGGGTTGGGTGACAAATCCACACTTTGTCACCCTCATAGCCTATGCAATTAGCCAGTCTGTCATAATGAGTTTTCATCTGGTCACTGGCCAGCTTCAGGTGTTGGGCTTAATTTTGGATGTCATGTAGATGGTCCACTAAATTTGCCACATTATCTATTGTTGGTCATTACTCATCTGAATGTGCCCCAAGAAGCAGGTCACAGGCCAGAGTTCTCTTCTGAACACCAGGCTAGTAGTGTTGTAAGCAAGGCAAAAGATGGATAAATGTACGGCTCAGTCCTTCTGGTGCCATGCAACAACTTTTTATAGGTTCTTCTCAACCATTCTGATGTAGCGCCCTACCATGCCATCCAACTGTGGGTGCAGGTGTGTGGTTCATGTCTTGTTCACTCCCAGGCTCTGCAAAACCTCCTGTATCAGATCAGACTTGAAGTTGTGGCTCTGATCGCTATGTAGCTCACGCAGAACTCTGAAACAGCAGAAGAAGTTGGTAACCAGCACTTTTTCCATTGTCAAAGCTTCTTGGCTGAGAATGGCATAGGCTTCCGGACACTTCATAAAATAATTCATAGCAATCAGGAGGTATCAGTTTCCTTGGTAACTTCATTGGAAGGGCCCTGCTACATCAATGGCTATTCTTTCGAATGGTGCCCCAATGTTGTACTGATGCATTTGGTCCCAGTTCCTGGTTCGGGGGCCACAACTGGCTGCACAGGTGTTACATTCAACATCGTTTCTTGCCTGGAGCCATAGTACCTTTCCTGGACACCCAGGTGACCTCCAGACACTACACTATGTAGTTCAGTTAGCACATTGTTTACTTTGCTCCAAGGGAGAATTATCTGAGCAATTTTTGATCCTCTGTTGGTGGATTGCCAGTGGTGCTGTAGTATGCCGTTCTTCACAGCAAGGGATTTCCATTGGGACCAGTATCTATATAAGGCTGCTGTTGGGGATGTCTTTCCATTCTGGACACTCTCCAGTCTCTGTTTCTTCTAGAATGGGTCCTGTGTCCTGATTGTTCTGTTCTCAAAGCCACTGGATTGCAGCCAGCTGCTGCTATAGCTGCAGTGGCTTGTACCTGTTCGATGTCTGCCTGTGACTGAACTTTGTAGCGATGGGTACACTCCTCTTGGCATGGGCATTGGTGGTGTTGTGTTTTCGGCCTTGATTGTGCTCGGAAGTGAAGTACTCTTGCAGGCACTGAATCCAGTGTGCGTTTTGTCCTTAGAGGTTCTTAAAACTCATGTGCCAGGTTAATGTATTGGTTTGTGCATAGGTGCAACTCTTTTCTATAGAGCTACTTGTGGAAATGTTCCTGCATCCTCACAATGGCCAATAGTTCCTACTGGGTGATGCAGTTATTTTTCTTGGCCTAATTCAGTGTCTGACTGTAGTAGGCTATTACTCACTCCTGTCCATCCTGTACTTGGGACAATACTCCAATCCCAGTGTCACTCATATTTGTGTCAACAATGAACCTTTCTCTTGTCTTTGGGTAAGCAAGAATAGGGGCAGTACAGAGGTATTACCTACTTCAGTGTTTTGAAGGTCACCTCCAATTCTTGAGTCTACTGAAAGACTTGCTGTTCCCCCATGAGTTTGGTTATTGGCTTTGCAGTGTGGGCAAAACTGGAAATGAACCATCTGTAATACGTGCATAGGCCCAGGAAGCTTCTAATTTTGTACAGAACTATAAGGTTTATTTATCACTGATTGAGACTAGCTCTTTCTAACGGACTGAACTAAGTAGGTGTATCTTGCCCCATCCACCTGAAGCACCCGAAGACAGTGACAGATCCAGTCTCCGAAACGTGGTTTTTTGTTTTATATATACCAGACGATGGATAGAGTCCAAAATAAACCTTATAGTTCTGTACAGCATACACCATCATCAGAATCCTTTAACGTCTATTTCTAAATTTATGTTTATTTTTGGAGGTTGGGCACTCTTGCATGGCTTTCAGCTTCTTGGTGTCAATGGTTATGCCCAAGGTACCATACTGCCTTCTGAAAAAAGTTGGCCCTTGTCTCAATTGAGCTTTAGGTGGGACTCTCGAAACTGCTGGAACACTTTCTGCAGGCTGAGCAGGTGCTGTTTAAATGTCCGGCCAGTCACGATCATTCATCCAGGTACATGAGACATGACTTGTAAATGAGGCCTCTTAAGACGATCCCCATTAATTGGCCAGCTGTCACTGGAGCATTGCAGAGGCCATAGGGCATGTCTGTGAACTGCCATTGATCCATTAAGAACACATCCCTCTCCTAGCCTGCCAGATGTAAAATCACGTGACAGGAACAGCTGTTCAGGTCCAGAGTGGAGAACCATTTGGCTCCAGCCAGCATGTCCAGAGTGTCATCAATCCGGGGCAGTGGGAAACAGTCTTTCCTTATGATGCCATTCAGTTTTGTGTAGTTCATGCAGAAGTGCAGGTCCCCATTCTTCCTGACTAGAATGATGAGATGGTGACCACGAGCTGTCTGACTTTTTGATCACCCCACATTGTTATATGTTCTCGATCATCTCGACCGGAACCATCTCTTTCGCTATGGGGAACCTCTTCGGGGTTTGGCAGATCAGTCAGGCCTCTCCTGTATCTATGTGGTGACACTCTGTCATTCATTTCATAATCATCGCTTATCATAGCAAAGATGTCTCCATACATGGCAAAGAGCTCTTCCAACTCTCAGGATTCAGTGTTTTTCAAGTTTGACCTGACTGCTGCAATCACATCTTGCAGCTTCGGTGTAGTCTCTTGGATCTGTGGGTATTCCACAGTGGATGGAGTCACCAGCGTAACTGGCTCACAGTTTGCTAGGGGTGGTCCTTTCATGAGCTGGTCATTGGGTACCTCCCAGCAGTCTCAGACCAGGGTCCTGGCTATGTAGAGTCCTTCAGGCACATAGGCCTCCAGACTCAGTTCTGCCAGGCCATTTTCCACTCTGAGGGGGCTTTCAAATTGAGATGTCACCACTCCCTCACATGGTGCAGGCATCACCCAATTTGGGGTGGGGCTCCATAGCAATACCACATCCTCTGCAAGACATGGCTTTTGGCACCCTATGTCCACAGGTACATCATATGAACACAGGATGTCCAGCCCCAAGGTGAACTCATTGTGATACTGGCAACAAATACGCAAAATTTCAGTGGTCCCTGCCCCAGGGTCATTATCAGGAAGACTTCATTCAGGATGGGGAGTGCTTCCCCGGATGATGCTTCACAAACATGCTTGTTTACGAAGCCAATGCTCAGTAACGGCTGCTGTATTTTTGCTTATCTCTGTGTCATTGCTCAGCAATGGGCCTGCATGCCACAATATTAAATGACCATGTAGAAGGGTTGAAATTATTTCAGCAAAGTGTAACTCGTGTAGACCTATGAATTCAGGCTTGAGGAAGGTTCATTTAATATTATCAGGAATAGGAGAGTTCTGTTATCTTCAGATGTGTTTAGAAGCCCACTGTTGAATATACAAGTTAGGAAATATGTGTATTTCATGGCAGTTCTTGTTTAATTATGTCAAAAATTGTAACATGGAAAAGTGTGTTGGACCATTTTTCTGTATGAAAAATATTTTGCAGATTATGCCCAATACACGAGGTGCAATTGGAAAGTTCCTGGACTAGGTAAAAAAAAGACATGTTGTCTTCACATACTCAATTTTGGCTGCTGTCTCCTTGGGATCATACGTATACAGCATTCCCATCATTTTTTCCATGCTTCAAAAGCACCATGGAAGCCATTTTCCCTAATGCTGTCGAGTACCGCTTGTGATTCCCTTTGATGTCAGATACTGCTTCAAAACATCGTCCCTTCAGTATCATTTTCAGTTTGGGAAACAAAGCAAAATCACAGGGGGCTAAGTCCAGCATGTAGGGAGGATGGGGAACAATAACCATTTTGTTACAAACTCTGTGGTTTCTAAGGACATGTGATCTGGTGCACTGTCATGACGAAGGAGTAACATGACACATGTTCATATTTTCTGTTAAGATCTCCACAGAAAACTCCGTAACTGATCTTAATGGTGTCTGTGAGCTCATGGATTGTTTGGTGACGGTCTTTGTGGATGAGTTCTCGAATGCATTCAACATTTTCCTGTTGTTTTGAGGTGCATGGTCGCCCTGAACATTCATCATCTTCAACTGACACTTGACCTGCCTTGAAACTTGAATGCCATTCAAAAACCAGGTGTTTCAGTTGCAGATTTACCAAGTTTCACAGAAAACTTGATGCAGAGACGTTGCCAATTTTGCTATCCATCACAGACAAAATGAAATACAAAGTCAAAAAAGCGCTTGTGTAAAAACAATGCACGTTCATGTGGCAGACTGATGTGATAGGCTCTTAGAAGTGTGACCTTGGCCTCTCCTCTCATCTTCACCGAGGCAGTTACAGCAATAAGAGTCTGGGAACTTTTCAGTACCATCTCGTACATGCAGAAGAGAATGTAGATTTTTGTGTAATATGTCTTCTCATTGTTGTCCAATTTGAACCAATATTGTAATGCACCAACAAATTTGACTACAGGTCCCCAGTATTAGATACCTTGAAAATCTGCTCACCAGTTCTCAAGTTGATACATATATGCTGATGGATGGGCTGAGCAATTTTAATAGCCTCTCTGCATGGTTGTGAATACACCTAAAAAGACAGTAGAACATGGTTTCTGACACTGTGGGTCACAGTGCCAAGGCTGTCATGACTTACTCTTCAGGCTGTGGAGGTTGTCACCGAGTTCTCAAGAAGTGTTTCAGATGTACAGTTGTGTTCATGCACAGTTCTGGCAAGCCAGTAAGATATAATGTAGGTAGTTTTTTAAAATATAACGTGTCTGTACAAGAATATTTTATAGCTAACTGTACATACTGGGATGTTGTGAAGGCCCCCCTTTTGCCATATGGCCTGACTAGGACATGCAGCTGTGTGCAGAAGTGCATTTTTCACTCACTAGCAGATGTGAGGGAGTTGCCTCTATTCATGTATTATTTTAGAGAGTTGCAGTGTTGCAGGTTTCGGGAACTCTTAGTTAGAGGAGGAACCCTCATAAGACACCAGGGGTATGCTGAATGAATTGAATTGCAGTCTCACTAGGAGGATTAACAGTAAAAGATTGGTGTTGGTGTGTGACTTGCAGGTTGCTGAATGTGCCCATAGTGTTCCGATTGGACAGCGAGGGGGATGGTAATAACAACAAGAAAGTTATGAAATTGTTTGGGCACCCAAATCTGGTACGGCTACCAAACCGGATACAGGGCCAAGATCTGTATGCAGCTGTGGATCGCCTTGTCCCTTATGTTGTGCCGTACTCCATTCTTCTGGTAGATGGACAGGTGTGTCCCACAGTTTCCTCATTGGTCATCTTTGTTAGGTTTACAGAACATGAAAAGTGTGTAGGAAGGCTTCAGGTTAGCTAATAGTCTGATGCCTACACAACTCTTTGTTCATGATTCCCCCAAATCTAATGCTTGTATTGTAACAGTATTTATTATTTTGCTCTCTGTCAACACAGTCCCTGTATAACTAACTAACTTCATGGAGCTGAGCCCTTCTTGTGAAGTGCCAATTGTGTAGCTACTCGAGAACTTCCCAGCAATTTATGGAACTGAAGGTTCATTACCATGTTCACAAAATCCCTCCACTTGTCCCTGTCCTGAGCCAGGTCGTTCCAGCCCATACCATCCCATCCTATTTTTCTAAAATCCATTTTAGTATTATCAGCCTACCTACATCTTGGTCTTCCTAGTGGTCTCCTTCTTTCTGGCTTTCCCACAAATATCCTATATGCATTCCTTCATGCCCACAGTTTTGCTACATGCCCTGCCCATCTCATCCTCCTTGACAATACATTAAAATTTTACAACATGTTTCAGCCTTTTGGCCATCATCAGGCATTCTACGTGGCCCTCAACTTATCTGCTGATTTCCCTACCTTGGCCAGTGTCTACATACTGATGTATTTTGTGTTGCACATCATTTACATATTAGTGCAATGCAACACAAAATATATCCACATGTAAACAATGGCCAGAGAAGGGTAATGAGCAGATGGGGACATGTAGAACACTTGATGATGACCAGAAGGCTGAAACATGCTGTCAGCTTGTAATGTATAGTAAATTTGTACATAGACTGTGTTGACAGAAAGCAAGTTAGTAAATGTAATACATCACAACGTGGTGCTTAAATACAGTAGTTTTAGTCATATAGTAGTAATTATTTATATACATATATAGGCTTACTGAGTAAGAGGGGTACCATCTCATTATTACATTGAGGAAAATATTTTTTATTGACAGAATTTGAGTTAATGCTCTGGTAACCAAACCCAAAACTTGAAGATTGCCAATATCTCAGCCTACAATTTAACATTTTCCTGAGGTGTCTCTAACCTGTTTACATCCTCATAATTTTTCCCCAAAACCCATTTTAATAATATCGTACCATATTTTCAGTCTTCCAAGTGGTTGCCTTCCGCCTGTCAGAATTTTTATGTGCATTTATTCAGTAAGTGACCTGGATGTTTAAGTCATTTTTGACAGTGCCAGGAGAGCTGCATAAATCACAGAGTTCTTCATTATGTAATGTTTTCCATTTCCTAATTAATTAATGTTTCCTAAGATACTGTTACATGACGCTTGAATGCCAGAAGTGTACAGTCAGATAAGCACTGCAGAGATGTCCACTACTAGACAATGGCCCGCTAGACATGTTTCCGCAGCAACGAATAAGGACACAATAATAGACTAACTGTGGAAGCTGGTGATCCCTATTCATTTCTTCCCGAAGTTATCAAGAGAGGGCACATGAAAATGTGTAGTCATTTCAGCGCAGGAGTTCAGTTCAGTAGTTGAGTTCAAAAGTTGTAAGAGAATTGAGACAGGAGAACAATAATGGATGGGTCCTCACCAGTAGATTGATTGTGAACTGTTATAGTTGATTGTAATTAAGAGTGATTGTAAAAGAAGGCATCAGTAAATCCACTCATCCAATTCAGAACCTGTTATTATTAGTCACAGAACCCCAGACACATGACAGTATTTTCTTCGTGTGTGAGATTTGAAGTTCTCATGGCAGTGACCTTGAGGAATACTGTCTTATGTGATGTGTCGCCACACAGTCTGGTAGATGTTTACTAATGTTTCCGAGGCACATACTGCCTCACTGTTCAGGGTAGAGGAATAAGCCAAGTGATACGACATACAGAAAGGAAGGACCAGGACATTCATACCACTTTTTTCATATTGTACAGATTCTTTTACTTTGAAGATGGAGGCAATGTGTTCCTCCATGGTACACAGCAATTTACAAGAACTGGCACATTGGTTGTTTTATATGCACACATAGAGGGAGATACAAAAGTCATGTGGCAGTATACCATCTCACCAATCATATCGGCAAAATGGAGATGCGAAGTAATCATACTGCTCTTTCATACTCAGCAATGAAACAGCAAATGAAGTTCAACAGCACTTATTGTAGTGATCAAGGAAGTCATTTATAAAACTTTCTTAGCAAACTGGATTAAGCTACAGAAGCACACAGTGGGTTACAAAATATTTTAAACTCCCTATGTATTGTATTCACACAGTGCTTCTGCCAGAAGCTCCAGGGGCAAGCAGTGTTAACAGCTCAGACCTGTAATCATTGTCTTGGACAGTGTCATCTGTATAGATGGGGTGTGGTTTCACTTGCGTGTCTACATTAACAGCCAAACAATAGAGTATGCAGTTTCAACAATCCACACATTTCCTGTACCATTAACACCAGAAATATTGGCAGATATGTTGCTGTGTTTCTTATCCTATTTTCTTTGAAAGTACTAAATGCTGAAGGTGACGGGAACTAGAAACCAATACAGAAATAGCTTTGTACACATCCAGTATCATACAGACATACCCACATAAAAAGTCATATCAGACAGCAAATATGAGAGCAATGGAATATGGAATGTAGAGGTTAAAATGTCTCAGATGTATAGGACAGAGAGGATGCATCATCCAGTAGAGGTACAAAAAACATACACATGTGATACACCATGCAAGATAGCTCAGGCTACCCACAGCACTTCATAAAGAGGGGACTCAATTTTTGAAGGTGAAAATACTATAAGGAATATAAAATTTGCTGAAGAAGAAAGATTCCTACATATCTAGAGAGATATGACACATGTTGTGGCTATAAAAAGATGATCATGTGACTGAAACATCCATAGAAAGCCACAATCCAATATTTGAAACCACATACAAGCCCTACCTATAACTGCAGATTGTAGCATCTTCAGAAAATCCATACTGATATACAAACACATCATTTCCATCAGCCAGTGTGTAGCTAATCGGTACTGAGAGCAGTACCACATATGGCATCCAGACAAATGAAGTAATGGTCTTGACCTTAACACAACAAGGCAAGTTTCATACAAATTTTAACTACACAGATAAATGACAAAACATCAGATGGAACAGAAACAACAGTACTTTTGCTGCAACAATTGGTCAAAAAGGCAATACAACAATGCATATAACAGAATTATTAATGTTCTGTTATTCTGCTATTACACCATATGGATGTGGGTAATGCTGCTTACATTTAGGAGGTACATGCTGTATAAGACAGTGAGTTTATGTCTCTGCATAGGATCCTCCTTCATAAAATGGGGGGAGGAGGGTATTGGTATCTCATATGGCCAGTGGACCAGGAAAGTTGTGCACCAGCTCTTTTAAGGGCCATGGAGTGTACAAGAAAAATGCACCAGCAGTTGATTTTCCTGAACAGTCAACCATCCAATTGCACACATGTCAAAATGTTGCTTAAGTGTAGAGAGGGTCATCGTGATGATGACAACAATGACAATTACAGATGTCTCAGTCTTTACACGTTGCTCTCATGTTGTCTTGAAATAGGCAGCATTTGCATTCTTTTGTGATCATAACAGTGTGCTTAATGGTGCTTGTGCAGGGTTACCACTGTTCGCGCTGCATGTACACGATGCATTGCAGAGGTTGCCATGTAGCGCCAGAAGGAGAGTTGCTGCTGCAGAATGGGGACACATTGGCAGTGCGGTTCTCTGAACCAGTGGACCGGATGGACTTAGCAGTTGAACATCCTAGCATGAAGCTCATGCGTCGCCAAGACCCCCTGTCACTTTATGACTGTCTTCAGGCTTTTAGTGAAAGGTGTGTCTGCTTACAGCACTAAGCTTTTTTTTTCAGTTTGTTGAAATGGAATTAAAAAGCAATAAAAACTTAATTCATGTTTCACATTCCAATAATGCATTTTTTAATGTATGGACAATCTCATTTGTATGAAGTCTTCTTGGTATAGTTTATGGTTTTTCAACTAGTGAGGGAATTGCCTTCTCTTATGGAACCCAAGGGTTTTTTTGCCAAGTTGTGAAAGTCTGTCATTGGATCCTGTTCTTGGCCAGCTGAGTCCTGCTCACACCTTCACAGACTGTTTCTCTATGTTCTTTGTGTAAAACATCTTTGAGGGTACATAGCCCAAGTAGACAGCTACACAAAAGAAGAGTCCAATATGAAATTCCAGCAGGCTTTTTGCTAGTTAATAAACGAAACTCCAGTTTTCTTTGTTGAACACCAATACATCCACAACCTAAGTTTTGTATTAACAGTTTTTTTTAAAGAAGGATTCATACAGTTGTGATGTCAGTAGCTAATAACATTAGAACAATTGGTTTTGTGTGCACAGTGAACAGCTGGATGAACACAACCCTTGGTACTGCCCCATGTGTCAGAAGAATCAATGTGCCACAAAGACTCTCTCGGTGTGGAGATACCCTGACTTCCTGATTGTCTACCTTAAGAGGTATTTTCAGTTTTGTATAGGGAGAGTCTCAGTATGTTCAGAGTTGCATGTTTGCTCATGGCTAAGCAGCCATTGACTCCACACTCTTGAAATTTGTGCTTTGTAATATGCATTCAGGAAGCTCAAGAAACAGGGCAAATAAACAGAAATCATTCATTTATGATCTAATGGTCTGCTGTCCCCAGGTGTTATTAAGCACAGTGTAAAACTAAGTGAGATATGAGACATGCTGGTGACTGCGAAGACTGCTCTCTCCAAGATGTGACGCAGTATGGTCTTGCAGAAGTTCACCAATATTGAGACATTTCCTCTGAAAATGCAATCTGCATGTTTCTATGAAATGTCGGTAAGCTCAGGCTACACATTGTCACATCTCAGAGGACAGTAATCTTGAGTGTAAAGCGGCCTCCGTAGTCTAGAGGTAACGTTCCCACCTCATGACTCGTAGTACGCGCGTTCAAATACCCGGTGAAGGTCGTCGAATTTTTAAGGGCGGAAAAATTCAGGGAACAAGTCCTCCGGGAGGGACTTTAAGCCGTGGGTCCCGTGTCGTAGCTTTACGGCATGTAAAAGAACCTCGTATCTCCAAAGGAGGTCACTGAGCCAAATTAATGAACGTTTCCCGCCCAACAGCAGTCTCTAATACCTCTGATAGATGGGGGAAGCATTATAGATACCTCTCAGCCAGTAGAGCCGGTCTCGCTGGCTGGGCGGGACAGATGATAAGCACCAGTACCGGTAGGATATAGAGACTGGTAGAAATCATAGAGGGAAGCACAATGGACCAATACAGGTCTCAGTGCATGGGGAAACCCACCCTCTCCAATAACTAACTAACTAATCTTGAGTGTAAAACTAAGATTAAGTTACCTTTTGGTGGCTATAGTGAGCTTCACCTGGAGAGAGCATGCATGCTGGTGCTTCAGAAAGACTAATCATCAACGTACTCCCCACAAGCTTCAAAGCAATGTCATGAACAGGCATTTGTTGTGCCATGTTGCAGATTCATTTTCCATGAGTGTGTGAGTGTTAAGCTTGATAACAAAGTGACCTTCCCCCTCATGGGTCTGAGTGTGACGCCTCCAGCACTTCTGCAGCGTGGGACATCCCATCCGTACAATCTGTATGCGTGTGTTTGCCATTTTGGAGGTGAGAACTCAGTAGATTATTATTTTAGTCATTAATATCTGGATTATAATGATTGTGCCTGACATGCATTTGGAAAGTATCTGTGGTGAACTACATATGCACTCAATCTGTGGGAGAATGACATTTCTTGTATGAAGTCAGGGGATTATACAAAATTATATCAGGACAGTGTTTATCTCATGAAACTTATTATACATCTTCATGAGCTGCAAGGTGAGCCTTAGGTCCAATCTGTCATTGAAGCTGATTTTCCCAACTTTGTCTGGGTCCTCTCACATCCTTGTACCCTGGAGTTCTATGCTCCGTAACCTTTGGGCTATCCTCTTGTGTTCCATTCATATAAAATGCCATAGAATTGGTTTGTATACTGCGCACTTGATATAGAGAGCCCAGTAACCATTGACAAGGCTTGTCACAAAGCAAAATAACCCTGAGGGGAAAAAACCAGGTGCTCCAGGTGGGGGGTGAGCAGAGGATTGGTACCCCACTCTTGCATCAACTTTCTGCTCATAATTTGCAGAAAAATTGTACCTCAGCTTACTGTATATAACTATGATGAAGTAATTTCTTTATGTATGTAGCTCAAGAACTGTCTCTGCACAAATACAATTACATAATAATATCAAATGTGTTTCTAAAGTAATTAATGATATAGGAAATAAACACTGAAAGAACATCAGTTAATACTGCAGCAGCATGGCTTTGGTGCTTGGCGTATATGTGATGTCATTCGACAGAGATTGTCGTTGTTTAGTGTAGTGTCCCGTAGAGATTGTTGTACACATTCAGAATCTCATTGCATACAGATCAAAAATGTCTTGCACCAATTTCAGGTTATTTACTAAATCAGAGTTCACCAAGTGTGGGAAGATAACACATTGTTTTATTATGGTTTTGCTGGGCCAGGAAAAAATGTTCACTAAACATAGGATGTCAATAAATGTGGGAACACTAAATTTTGTTCTTGCTGTAGGTTAGATTTTGGCAAGGAACTGACTACCCAGACTAAATTTTCCTGGGGCTTTCTCAGCCCTAGCAAGGAAGTGCTTTGAAGTACTAATTCATGATCTTGCCCTGCCCTTACACCATTAGACTACTGCGACTTGCCAGGACACACTTGTAACTCCATTTGTGTTACTGAAGCAGATATATTGGCCCAGTGGAGAGCACAGCAGTGAATGTGTTAAAAAGGAATGTTTCATGCAGGATCTGCAGCTGGCCACTACACATCCTATGCAAAGAACCCACGGACAGCTGAGTGGCATTACTTCAATGATGATGTAATCACGAAACAGAAGCCCCAAGAGGAGGACTACAGCAATGCTTACATTCTGTTCTATCAGAGACAGGGTGAGTTACGGGCTGTTGGAAAGTGAGGACTCGGACTTCGCTTTACTTAACAGCATGCTGAATGTGGGAAGTAAATGTACTGCATAGGCATTCTGTAGTACAGAAGAGTTCATTTCTTCCTCTTCACAGAATGAAGTATGATTTGCTTGTTCTGCCATCTGTGACTTTGATGTTGGATTCCTTAATAAACTGTGGATGTTTTAATATTTCTCACACTAAGACTGGAAAAGTAGAAGTAGAAATTAATTAAAAAAAAAAGCAGAAGTAACAGTCTTTAAGGCACAAAACAGATCAAATCGAAAAAATCAGGATCAAATTTGAACATTGATTTTTCAGTCTCAGGCTCTGAGAATTTTCAGATAACTTCTCTTGCTATGTGCAATAGCACTCAAAGTACCCAATCCATCAGAATTGCCATCATTAGCAGTGCTAGCACAGATTAGCTTGTTCACAGAATCTGTTCACCTCTCAGTCTTTCTGAACATGGGAAAAACAATGTGGACCTAGAATTTAATATTTTTAAAATACAATGATCTATGACCTTTTTTTGTTGAAAAAGTATCAGATATATGTACAGTTCAGTGTTTTGTGAAAAAATTTATAGTGTTATAAATTGTGATTACAGTGGTAAAAATTGGTCTAGAAGAGAAATTTCTTGTTTTTCCCTATTTTGGAATACAGTAAAACTTGGTTATAGCAACATCGGTTTCTGCGACACCTTGTCTATTGCGTCAAATATTCAATGGTACGAACTAATTCTTCATAAAGCAACTGTTTTTATACCTTGCTTAGTACGACATGCACAAATGCATCAACCTCGTATGTAACGTCATTTTCATTCCTGAATTTCTCTGATATGGACATTGAACGTAATTTAGAAAGTGTGTATTGGGCAAGTAACAGGAAACAGATGAAGATAACTGATTACTGTACTCGTATCTAGGTACAGTAAGGCACAACAATTGATGTAATCTACTGTAATTTGGTGAGTAGGCCTACCTTTAATATACAGTATTAGTGCGGTGTGTATTGTCAGTGAAAAGCGCTGTAATATGTCTTTGATATTACACATTTGGGCAATTCCACGTTAATGTTACGTTAGTCTGTACTTAACTACGTATTTCACTAAAAAATGCAACATTTTAACTCGGTTTTTGTAAGATTTTTACGTGACTAACATAAGGCTACTGTGGAAGTGCCCATTTCGGTTACAACGACATTCGTTTATAACGACACTATTTTTAGGTCCCTTTGATGACGTTATAACAAAGTTCTACTGTATTTCCAAATTGTCATCCTGAATTGAAAAAGTCAGTTTCACACTTTCGTAGCACAGACACCACAGACATAGAGTTATGGTCTGACTGCTTGTGTGGCAACAGTGTTGAAATATATGATGCAATAAAGGAGGTTTGTTGTGGACAAAACAGACTGTCTCCTGCTCCCAGCACGTCCAGTATTACCAAGCATCAGTGTAGAGTTGCTTTTAAGTAAAAAAATATTGTCACATATAGGGTGGTACGCATGATGAAATGATGGGTTCTAGCTTGGATTATTGGATTTATTAGCACTTTGGTTACACACTCTCTCTGAATCATACTTAAATACAGGCAATACAGCACTATCGCTGATTTACACAATTTCCAGTTCACCATTGCACACGCACTAGGATTCTCTGTTTCCACTAGCTGTCTCCTAGCAACAGATCTCAATACAGAAACTATCACTTCAAATAGGGTGACCAACTCTCCCGTATTTCCCGGGATCTCCCGTATTAGAGCTAATTTTTTTGGATCCTCCCGGCTCCCATATTGACCTTCTATTTCTCCCGTATATTTCATTAACAATCAAGATCGCAAAATTTAAATTACATATTATTCCCACCAAATACGTTCCAATATAAACTGTCATTATTATCGATAAATATCGAAAAATTACCTATAATAATCGATAGAAAGTTTAGAATATACTAATCGATAGCGGAATATCCATTTCCAGATTGTTCTGCAGCATCAGCGGACATCTACATATAGGTTAGGACTAAGAAACATGCAAATTTGTAAAATTTATTCAATATTGTGACCTGTATATTATATACAATGTAAATTAATTGTTTTGTTTAATATTATCCATTCCATGAACGTTTGCTGGACTAATGCCGTGCCGCTAAATATGCGCAAAATTTGTCGTGACTAAATCTCCCTTAAATTCATGACCGAAAGTTGGTCACCCTAACTTCAAATCATTATTTAAGCCTTCTTGTCTTCAGTCATTCTGTACTCCCCTGCCCTAATCTGTACTCAATCTTCACAATTCATGCTTGATTCTCGTCCTTGTACCCTCAATGCTGAACCCCCCTGGACTCTCCACTAACTTAAGCTTAAAAAGGTCTTTGTTACATAGGCACCGCACAGGCAGCACCGAAAACAAATCACATGATAACCAGTACTGCTGGATTGTGACGTCATTGCACTTCCGCGGAAGTCTGTTTACTGAGGTATTGCATAGAAGCAGGTTGCATAACCTCATTCCATTGTGCGCATGTATCATGTTTGCTTGCCAGTTCATTACCTAGACTCACTCTGGCCATTCACGTTAAAGTATGTAGGCCTGTAAGGGAACCTCCATTTAATGTTTCTGAGTTTAAAGTTTTCTTTCATTTACTGTTCAGTTCCAGTGATCCAAAGTCAGTAATCCCGGTGTTAAAAGTCCTCCATACAACCTGTTAGGTGAGGATTGCAGCATAAGCCGCTGCATGAAATCCTGTCCCTAGTGCATGACATTTCTTCTGTTATGTGCAGAAGATTTGTTTTTTCTGTGTGAGTGAAGGTTGGTAGAGAGAGGTGGTACTTATAGGATATGGTCTTGAATGCTTCTGCCATCTAGCGTGATTTTTCAGGAAGGTCCTGATGGTAGATAACCACGAATTGTGAACCCACAGTATTATGGATCAGTTTGCTTACAAGTAGTTAATTAGTAATTGGTGTGTAAGCTGTACAGACTTGTTATTGTGGTGCATGTTCTTTGTTATAAGCCCCTGTAAATATTTCTGAGGATAGACTGAATTCTGACACTGTATGCAGTATGATTAAACTGAAGGAGGATGATCAAGAACACCATCAGTAATACACAGAGATATTGGGTTTTCGGACTTTATCCATCGTCCTGGTTTTTAAGATAACTAACATCGTCCAGTGATTGAGGCTAGCTCTTACTAAGGGACCCAACAGAATAGGTGTTTTCCCTCACCTGAGGACGGAAACAGATCCAGTTTCCGAAACGTCATGTCTTTCTTAGTTATCTTAAAAACCAGGACGATGGATAAAGTCCGAAAACCTAATATATCTGTGTGTTATACACCATCATCAGAATCCTATAGTAACTACCATTAGTAATGCAACATTGATGTAAAAGACGCCTAAAAATATATATTTTTTTCACTAAAAGTGTAACATTATACTTTAAAATGTTATTAAATATCATTTAAGACACTGCAAGTATATCTTATACACTAAAAATGTCTTATCAGAAATACTTCAAAATCTCTTTTTGAGTTATATAATGTTTTTCCAATTTTGCAATGTTTTGGCTGCATATGGGCCATCATCAGGCAATTTAAGGGGATACCACTGGATGTCCATTTGTCTTGTTCTCCCATGCATGTCATCATTTTGTTTTTGTAAATCATATCAAGAATACTGTCATTGTATTCTTCTTTTGGCCATCATAGTTTTTATATGTTCTTTCTTTGTATGTGTGTTTGGTGTGGTCTTCATATATAAAAAGTAACTCACTCCCAATATATCCATAGATAGCATTAAAAAAAGATGTTCAGTTCACAGTTGACAGGATTTCTGTATGGGGCTTCAGCACGAAAGCAGAGGAATATCCATTGTTAACATTAGTTACCAAGCAATGGCTAGTGAAGACTGTAACGCACTGAAATGATAGTGTGTGCTAGTTATCTGTAAAGCTTGTAGATCAGAGATCTTCACAAGGCCTTTGATTGTGTCAACTATGATATTCTGATTCAAAGTTGGAACATTACGGGATTAAGGGAAGAGCTAACGATGTAATTAAATCCTATTTATTAAATAGATACAGAGAGTAATAGTTGTTTCTGACTGAATTAAATTCTACTCTAAATGGGAGCCTGTTACCATTGGAGTTCCTCAAGGATCCATACTTGCTCCCCTGCTTTTTCCTTCTATATGTCAATGATTTGCCTAATGCCATATCTGATGTATCCAATCCAGTCTTGTTTGCGGATGATACAAGTCTAATAATTACTAATCCTGATACCCCGAGAATTGAAAAAGATATAAATATAGTTTTAGAAAAATTAAATAAATGGTTTAGTAGTAATTTATTACTACTAAATCTTACAAAAACTTATTTTCTACAATTTGTAACTAAAAACACAAGAGCTTTAGATTTACATATACTATGTGGGAAAAAACAAATAACCAATGTGAATGTTACAAAATGTTTAGGTTTGGTTATTGATCTGTGCCGTCTACGTTCTGCTACCACAGCACTGTCACTCTCTGGCACCTTTCGGCTCCGTCTACCCTTCCTCAATCGGGAGGAATGGGAAACGGTGCTCCGTCATACGGCTCTCGTGCTGTGCTCACACGCTCCCTATGTTAGAGTAAGGGATCCAAGCTAGCAGTGGGGCTAGTCTAGTTACAATGGTGGGCATCAACTAAAAACATAACAAAATTTAATAAACCCAACTACTGCATTTCTACCCTGGCCAGGCTGAATCAAAGCAAATACACAATATATATATATATATAAAACAGACACAAGTTTAACTCCAACTGGTGCAAGTCGCCTGGCCACAGGCTGAGTCAAAAGCAAATACACAATATATATATACAACACAAGCTTAACCTAAACTGGTGCGAGTCACCGCCATGCACAACCCCGACGACGGGCGACCGCGGGCGATCTCGCCATCTGTGAACCAGCTCCCACACACCAAAACCAAATTTAGACTCCCTGCCAGACGGAAATTTGACAATCACTTACTAGCTGGATCAGCGCCGCGAGCACCCTATGGATCCATAACCAGTACTGTCCTTCCGAACTCGAATTAACTTCCAAGCAAGGCTCCCAGGGGTAGAAGGGAGGGGAGAGGGCAACACCACGTGACCCAGTCCCGCATGGGGAGGGGGTGGGGGATTAGTTTAAACACCTCGATCAAGGGGCTGGAAGCCCATGATGTCATACCGGAGCCAATGCCAATGCATGGCTCANGCTGTGCTCACACGCTCCCTATGTTAGAGTAAGGGATCCAAGCTAGCAGTGGGGCTAGTCTAGTTACAATGGTGGGCATCAACTAAAAACATAACAAAATTTAATAAACCCAACTACTGCATTTCTACCCTGGCCAGGCTGAATCAAAGCAAATACACAATATATATATATATATATAAAACAGACACAAGTTTAACTCCAACTGGTGCAAGTCGCCTGGCCACAGGCTGAGTCAAAAGCAAATACACAATATATATATACAACACAAGCTTAACCTAAACTGGTGCGAGTCACCGCCATGCACAACCCCGACGACGGGCGACCGCGGGCGATCTCGCCATCTGTGAACCAGCTCCCACACACCAAAACCAAATTTAGACTCCCTGCCAGACGGAAATTTGACAATCACTTACTAGCTGGATCAGCGCCGCGAGCACCCTATGGATCCATAACCAGTACTGTCCTTCCGAACTCGAATTAACTTCCAAGCAAGGCTCCCAGGGGTAGAAGGGAGGGGAGAGGGCAACACCACGTGACCCAGTCCCGCATGGGGAGGGGGTGGGGGATTAGTTTAAACACCTCGATCAAGGGGCTGGAAGCCCATGATGTCATACCGGAGCCAATGCCAATGCATGGCTCAGATCATAAATTGTCATGGCAAACCCATATTGACCAAATGATACCCAAACTAAATAAGGCATCCTATGTAATTAGAGTATTAAAACCCCTTTTATCCATGGAGTGCCTAAAAATTGTTTATTTCTCCCTAGTTCATTCAATAATATCTTACGGTATAATATTCAGGGGGAGTTCAGCCCATGCAAAAATCATATTTCAAATACAGAAAAGAATAAGAAGAATTATTACCAATTCTCATGATGTGGACTCGTGCTGTAATTTATTTAAGAAGTTACATGTACTGCCACTTCAATCCCAATATATATTTTCCTTATGCTGGTTGTCAAGAATAGAGATTGCTATATAACAAACTCTGATGTCCACACCCGTAATACCAGATTTAATCATGACTTGCATCTTCCAGTGGTAAACTTAACGATATTTCAGAAAGGTGGATGGTATTCTGGTATCAAACTTTATAACCACCTCCCTCCAGAGCTTAAACAATTATCTTATGACATCCCTGGATTTAAAGTGGCATTAAAGAAGTTTCTTATCACCAATTCCTTTTACACTGTTGAAGAGTACTACTGCTGGAATAAAGATTGATCCCTCGTGTATATTTAAATAAACACTGTTGCCTATTGCTAGGATGCAACAGACTATGGAATAAAATACACAGGAAAAAGGTACTATTACTGTTGTGATATAGATGTATTATATATTAAGAAATTAGATTTTATATGACTATATTAAAGAGTCTTGGTGGTATTTTGATTATGTATGTAATTTTATGTTATTTTGACATATGGAATGTATTGTTGTACAGTAGTCTTGTTATATGAGTTTTTAAAATTTTGATGATGATGTATATCTGATTATGTATGTATATTCATATGTTATATTGTATTGCTGACTTGTTCTATATCTGAGGCAGACGCCTCCATGGATTTTGTAGAACTGTAAATAAATGAATGAATAGCAGTGTAATTACTTGTAATTCTGAGTGGTGTGTAGGTGGTCAGTAAATTCATTCGGCAGTCCATACCCTCTCTGTAGTCACACACCCCCTACAAATGAAAATATGTATTGATTGGATGTGGACAGATTTCAGTGTTAGTTATGTTTATCATGCTGTGTGTGTCCCAGGTGAAAGTAAACTGAACAGAATCGTGATTGTAGTGTTATTTATGACTGTTTTTCCAGAAAGGAATTAATGGGTCCTTTAAAATGGCCCTACATTTATAATGCTCAACTGAAACGAGAAATGTGTCATGTTTCCTGGCTCTGTGCACATTAGTGGCATAAATGTAAGATGAAATTTCAACTCTTGTGTTTTATTGGCCAGGTGTGACATATGACCTGAGTATGCCCAAGCTGTTGATGGGTGCAGGCAGCCCAAAACCAAACATTGAACAGCTGATTCTGGATCTGGACTCTTCCGTGCAGCAAGACTGGGAAGAGGAAAACATGGCTCACAGTCTGGCCAGCTAAGGGTGACTCACTTCATAATACAATTGTAGTTTGACATGTTCATTGAGTGTCAGATTGATTAAAATACCTCATACTGTTTTGTCAAATGAGTGGTAGAGTTACAAGCGTCATGAGGAGACTTGAGATTGCATTTGTGTTGTTGGTCTTCTGTATTAAATTCTGAGGCAAGCTGTGCGATTTCCCTCTTTGTCCTGAATGACACAGTTCTGTTGGAACTCCATTTTAATGTGTACTTGGTAAATGAACTGATACTCTAGTATATGCAGTGGAGTTCTTGCTAGTTTCTATTGCTGTAAAAAGTAATCTCTCATTTAGTGCGTGTTGTCTGGCAAAATTATCTCTGGTTTAGTGTGACTGTAGACAAATTGTATGTTCAGTCATCATCTTACCAGATGCCACCAGTGGGCAGCATCAGTCAATTAACATATATGATATTGTGAGGATATTTTCACCTCCTGTACCCACTATGCATTCTTATGAACGGAGATTTTGATCTTTTTGCACCATGTGAGATGTGCTTAAATGTGTAGTCACTGTGTGGGCCCAGAAGTTACGTCGGAAGAAGATTGAAAATTGGTCAAGTCTGGACAAGGGTTCAGTGATCAGCTCTTCTGCTTGGTTCCGTAAGGAGTGTTTACTCTGGAATTCCACAGGTGATAGTCTTGTGCATTACTCAGTCAGCTGACTATGTTTGCTAACATTAATATTTGTTATGTTTCTCTGTGATGGACATGTTGCTGCGGCTGTTTGTAGAACGAGTACAGAACCTGTCAAAAACTTTACTTATTATTTATGTGATTCATGGCTGAAGTGCTCAGATATTCGGGAAAGACAGTAATAAATCATAGTTGTATTTATGGAGAAATTAACAGTGGATTAAATTTGCCAAATGCTTTCTACCATTCACTTCCATGATCTTGTATTTTCCTGTCTGCTTTGTAAAAATTAAAATATAACTATGATTTGTCTTTTGTTTTATTTGGGTGTTAAACTTTCTCTTTCACATTAAAGGAAGAACACAGATGGAGGGTGTTTGAGAACAGTGTGCTGTGAAGCATATTTGGACGTAACAAAGGAAGATAAAGCTATCCCTGTAACAGACAATTGAGGTCGATATGGTTGTGAGATGGCAAGGCTTTGACATTTTCTAAACAGTCGGCTCACAGATGGCGGTGAGATTATCAAGCCTTATGTTCTGTCCACCTTCCACCCCCAGGAAGATTTCTGGTATTCATTTTTGTTAGACTGAGTTGACCCCAGGGCCATAGTGCAGCTTGAAGGATTAGGTCAAGAAAAATCCAATGACCTCATCGAGAATCGTACAAATGACCTTCCAGCTTGTAGCATAGTGCCCTAACCAAGAGGAATGAAGTAACAGGAGGCTGCAGAAAATTGCATATTGAGAAGTTTCATTGTTTACACTCTTTGCTGCATTTTATTATGGTGATGAAATTGAGGATGATATGAACAGGGCATATGTAGCACAGATCTGAATGAACAGAGATGCATACAAGGTTCTGGTTGGAAGACCTGGGCATAGAAAGAGGGAAGGAGGGCATTGACTGGATTCATTTAGCTCAGAACAGAGACGAGTGGTTGGATCTTCTTAACACAGTAATGAATATTCTGGTTCCATTAAGATGCATGGAATTTATTTACTAGCTGAGCAACTATTAGTTTTTCAAGGACTCTACCATATGGAGCTACATAGTTACCAGATTGTTCTTATACGTGCTGTGTAGTGCGTTTTTGTACCCAGCAAATGTGGTACCATACATAGCAGTGTGCTGCTGTAGGACCTCAGCCAAATTAACCGTTCAGCGTGGTTTGACGTGTATGTTTCGTCAAGGTATTTAAATCATCTGCGGGGGTTCGACGTCTATGTATCGTCCAGCTGCACACCTATGTTATAACGCCCATAATAATTGATGGTTTTGCTGTAGATTGTTAGATTTTTCGCTGGCCTGTTGTCAGAAGAACAGTATATAATGAAACGTGAGTTTAGCTGCGTTAAGTCATCGTTACGTATGCCTGTCTTGCAGCAAAATCCTGTTGCTCTTGGGAGAGATTTCCTCATTCAAACTGTTATGAATGGCGTGTTTTCTTTCCTATGAAGTTATAAACAGCAGAGACGTGATATGTGCTGTGTTTATAATATCATATTGCCCTGAGCTGGCCANCCTTCATGTATTATCACTCCAGTTGACTCCATTTTATCGTACTGACCTTGGTGGTCGTTTCGAGGGATGACCATAAATATTTTTTTTGAGCCAGCTAAGCTCTGCTTTCGTGCACTACATACCAGCCAGTTGTTAGAATAACTTCATGAATTCTGTGGTCACCCCTCTGACATCTGCTGCAGCCAAAATGGATGGAATATAAAACGCATAGCACCAACCACTTGTTATGATAACATATAAAGGTTGAATTTACTGCAGCTGATCTGGCAAGCTATACGACTCACGGAAAGACATTTCCTCGTATTCCCCCTTTGAGAAGAAGGCAAGACCGCACAGAAGATGTTTGGTTTACGGAAAAAAGAGCCAAATGAGAGATATGCAGTATTGGTGTGGTGAATGTGAGACAGCGTTGTGTATAGAAGAATGCTTCAATGCGTACCATACTCCGCTCAAATTCTAAACCACCTGCTTCCATTGCCGAGATACTGGGCGCTCATATTATAAGGCAAGGTTATAAAACCATCGTTTAAGATCATTTTAGTGAAAGTTTCATGCTTCAAGGCGTACCATACACTGCTCAAATTGTAAACCAACTGCTTCCATTGCCGAGATACTGGGCGCTCATATTATAAGGTAAGGTTATAAAACCACCTTTTAAGATCATTTTAGTGAAAGTTTCATGTACCTATCTCATATAATTTAAGAACAATGATGAATAAATCATTTTCGAGCAAAATTTAAATGGTCGGCTGAATATATTACCGCCGGAGAGACACGGGAGCGGAATTTAAATGACCGCGCGAAAGGGTTAATGGATGGAAATTCCTAAGTCACTGATGGAGAGAAAGCTTCCCAGTCAGCGTATCCAGTAACTAGGTTCAGATGTTGGGTTACCACAGGATACATTGTATAACTGTGCAGATTTACAGGGTAGTATAACTACCATGCAAATCTACAAGAATGGACCATTCAAGGTGGACTGCCAGACTGGGACTGCATGGGACAGGTCAAGGGCAGAAGAGGTTCCTGATCCCAAGTTGAGGTGCAGAGCAGCACCTGAGTTTAAATGGAGTAAATTAAACCAAGCACATTTATTGGAAGTTATTTTTCCCCTTTAATCAGTAAGGGCTGATCCCCAAAGAATATTCTTCGCGCTGAAGTCACCCAGAAAAATAAATGGTGGGGCAAGAGAGATGTAAGGTTAGTCAGTTCTGCTGCAGCTGTTGGAAAATATAAACTGCATAAAGTAAACGAGCGGTGTGGCAGGTTTAAGTGGATAGCAGTGGCCTGTAGTGGTGAATGCATTTTCGGAGAAGTGGAACAGATAGCATCCTTAACTAAAGTAGCTGTTTATTCACCATGTCACCATCAAGGTGGATATAATAGTGCCCCATATAACCATGAATGTTTAATGTATCTGAGGGATGGAGATTAGTTTCCTGAAGAAAAATGATGGCTGAGTCATGTCAGCCTATATGTAAGGGAACCATGCATGGAATCTCTTGACATTCCATTGAAGCAGGTCCGTACATAATGGTCAGAAGTAACAGTCTGGGCAGCAAAAAAACTACAGCACTTTTATGGGAGATCATCTGGGTCTTTCTCTGTGCTCAGTTCTTGAGGTTCCAGGGTTGTGACCTGGCAAGTCCATTGTATCAGATTTGGTATGGATGGTGTCCCCACATTTCTTCTGATTACCTAATTGAGACATGTCTTGTTAGGAGAGGTTTCCATCATGCACTCAGCAACAGTCACAAATCTGCAGCTTGTATATCCTTGCTGTGTGCCAGTGTTTGTTGAGGACACATCATAATATCAGGGTAGCAGGATTAGGAAGATATTCCACTCATATAGATATCTCAGCCTTGGCGGTAACTCCTGCACAGGATATGGTGCCTGTTGAATGAAGTGGTGTTAGGGGTGGGGCTTATAGATGTTTGAGTTGCAGCATTGACACCTCGAGGATAGATTGCAATGGATGCATATGATTGCCTCCCAGCTTTTTGTTTGCATTCCAGGAACCACTACTTTTCATCAGTAAAGGAGCGAGTGTCCTTAACCATAAGTTCCTCAGTAGCTTTCCTACCCAGGTAAATGAGACATATCCTGTCACCAGACACATGCACTCTGGTACAGTTAATGCAACAAGGTAGGTTGGGATGCAGAGCCTCACGGTACCCACTCCCACCAAAGTTGCCATACACAAGGCTGGAGGCACACTGCTGGTATGTGTGTGAGATCTTTTGACACTGGATACTCTGCATAGGGTCTGGAATTTGCGGCCAGAATGACAGTTGCTTATACACAATCTCCTTTGTGCTGGGCACAGTTGGGACTTCAAATGTTAGAAATATTGTTTGAAGAGGGACTGACTTGATGTCCCTCTTCCTGATTAATTAGTATTCCTTTGAAACAAACTGGTTCGTAAGTGAGCACTGGATCTCCTTGTCTGACATGCAAAAGGTTGGAGCCAAGGTAGCCCAAGGTAGGGTTTTTGTCTACTTCTCATCAAACACTTCAACTAAACACTTAAAGTTCTTTAAATGTGCTGCATTTTGGTTGTAAAATGGATGTCTCATTTGCTTTTCTTTCAACCCATCAGTCTAAATGTAATGAATTATGGGGCTGGCTTCTTTACAGAATTTCAGAACACGTTTTTACGTTCACATCAAATTTTCCTTGTAACAAGGACACATGGGAGCCACCATGAAAAGGGCCCACCCTTGGTGTCAGCCTGCCATCTGGGGGAGAAAGAGATAGACATCTAAATCTTCTGCTTTGTACTGGCATGTGGACCTCCTCCTGGACAACATTATTTCAAGAAATTACTGAGAAGTGTTACACTTCTAAGTTATCACTGATAATTCCAAATGTAACAGCAAGTCCTGCACCTTTGACAGATTGTGACTATTTGCATGTACCGAGGGAATAAGAGCTTATGGCTCCCCCTTCTACAGGTGTACGTGGCTTCAGGGGATTTCTGGTTCACTACATCACAACTACCAGTCAGCGGCAGCATGTCAAAATGGCACAGCTGAACCAGTGGTCATATGAGTGCTGAAATGTCAATGCCATCTTTGCCTTGAATGAGACACTACATAGGTGTACACAGCTCATGGCCTAGGTTCTGCACCTGGGCTTGCATATAGGGGCAGTAAAGGAGGTTCATTCAACCTCCACCTCTCTCAGTCCTCCACAGAAGTGCACACGTTGGAACTTGTGCTGAAACCATGGGACAGTGCCATAGGTACAAGAACAATCCCTGCTGTGACACAGCAGTTTATAGGCATGGGAGGACTGTTGTGGTGGACAGACATACATGGCAACACCAGTGTGAGGATGACAAGATGAATATGGGGATGATGTGGTAGGCATTCAGCATGCAAAGTGGGCCAGTGAGGAAGAGAAGAGAGATGATGATTATAGAATTATATAAGGAGACAGGAAATTTCTTGAGCTCTGAATACCTATTGCTTTTATCTGAAGTGAATTCAAGAAACTATTTAATGTCAAATATAAGAAACACATCTATAAAAGTTCAATTTATTTCAAGGTTTGTACAACACATAGCCGTTTCACATTACTAGGATTAAAATTTGATACACAGTAAACTGTCTTATTTTAAACATTACTGATACCTGCAAGTCAACATCAAATCAGTGACAATTATAAACTGCTCCAAGGAGAAGCTACACAGTGTCAGTGCTTGCTTCATGGCAATATCACAAATCAGTGAGACCCCATTGTGTTCAAGTGTATTGTGATTTTTGACAGATGTACATAA